CGTCTGAAGCATGCCCGGCTATAATTCGATGTCTCCGATGAAGACCTAAAATCAGCGAAAATTTGACTTTTTTTTTTTTAAAAGTCCCTTTAGCGCAAAAATGCGCAGAAATCGGGGATGTGCTTTGAAAAGCGGAAGGCTTGAGGAGCTTTTAAAAAAAAAAATTCCTGGGGCAAGCCGGGGCAAAGGTCCTAAATGAGCAATTTAGGTTGTCGCCTATTGTCGGCCACGAAAGAACTTTCCCTCGGTCGTATCGATACAAATCGCAACTCTTCGGGTCGGTGCGTCCTTGTGGGGGGTCATCCGTCCCTAATTTTCATCGTATCGGGTAGTCTGAACCATTCAAGTTTGAGATATGGGCGAAAAACGACCGAATAATTTTGTCCACCTAGAAATCGATTTTTGACCACTGTGCGGCGGCCCTCCCTCAGATGTAATATGTATCTCCCGAGCGGATCAACCCAAGCAGGTTTTCGTTCCCTCCAAAGTCTCCTATTCAAGCGAGGTTCGGGCTTATAGGTGAGCTCGACAGGTGGATTGTGGCTATCAAACAGTTTTGAAAGCGCAGATATTTAATTCGAGGTCATCGATTAGCGCAGGTTCGCAACCAGAGGCAGCCATTATTGTTCTCGCCCTGCCGTCGGGCAAATCCCTCCCTTTTATGCGGCGCACTGCCCGCAGGTCTGGTTTCTCGCACGGTTTCGACCAGCTCTTTTCCGTGTCAGAAACGCGGGCGCGTCCGCCCGCGTTCCCGGGGGCGGACTCAATCTCTACGGCCCCGATCAATCGACGGTAGGCACCGGGGAGTGTGATACCGATCGAGATTTCTCAACCTGCCTTGTGGTGATCGAAAGGGAAAGACGGCAAAGAGAGACGCCTCTCCCGTCTGTACGCTGAATTCCGACTTGCTAAAATTGCAAGTGTAGTTAGCGGAGTAGACGAAGGGAGGGGATAGGGCCGGGGTCTGAAAATCAGTCCGTTATATCCGAAACTCTCTTCTTGGGTCCGCTATAGCCGAGTCTGTCTACGTTGAAGATCCCGTGGGCTTGTTTGGAGCTTAGCAATCGGTCCGTTGTAACCGAGTGTCGCTTATATCGGGCCCCGTTATAAGGAGGTCCCCTTGCATCTCATATGTGCTGTGAGCTGGATGACGTCTCTCCAACGGTCGTAGTATGACGGGTTCGTCCCCTTCATGCACCTAGTGTCAGAGAGGTTTCAGGGACACAATGGTTAATAATTATACTACAGGCCGACTTCAGAAGCCGATGTCGATGGCTCCCTTGAATCCGAGATCTCCAATCCTCTTCATAAATCTCTTTATTTTGAAGTATTTACAGCAGGGAAAAGAAAAGAGTAACACAAGATTAGCATCGGACTTTCGTCAGTTTCTGTGGGTCATCTCGAGACAACTTCTCCAGTGTACAGCCACGACGTGAGCTTGAGGAGAGTATCCATCGTGATACTAGAAAGGGCGAAAAATACTCGAGTAGTATCGCCGGAGGGACGTAGCTGAGCCCACGCCGTTGGCGTGGTCCCCGCACTCGATGAGGCATTGCTGAAATGTCACAATGTAGATAATTAGCCCGGGAATCCATTGCCGGCAGACGGGTCCGCGAGCCAGGGATCGGACGGCCAGCCGGACAGGCGTGAATACCGCGCTGACCTCGTCCTTACAAGCTCCCTTGCCGCTTCCTTGTAATTCCGTTTCCTGCTCAGCGCGGACCCGTTGTGTCCCCGTTCTGCCACCCACCACCCATGATGGTCGCCGTGTCGTATGAGAGCAAACACAAATGCAGCCCCTATGAAAGTGCGCGCGTCGCCAAGAGAGAGGAGGAGAGGGAATAAATGCACAGTGTATACGTACTATGGGTCCTTTGGAGGACCAACCGCACATACCCTGACGACCCCTAGAGGGAAGACAAGCTTCGCGGGCTCTAGCTGTCTCTGGGCCCTCAACTGTTCCACGCCATTTAACGACCGGCCCTGGCGAGACATCTTCGATGCTCGTTTGAGGTACTTGGCCTTCTTGGCACATAAACAAGGGAAGTAATCGTCTTCCTCGTCGATCGCCTGCAAATGATGTCTACTTAGCACGCGCTTGGAAGAATGTACCAGTCTCTGGTGTACAATCTACGGCAACCTACACCATGGACTCGTCTCATTAATTATCGGAGGCTCATCGAGCGAGGCAGATAACTTTCCCCGAGATTGTCCGGAGTTCAGCCGACGCTACAGGATGGGGTCAGTAGGTGGACGCTAGGTCTTACCTCGATATTGTCTGGGAGCAGAGGCGCTGGTGACGACGGAACATCATCGCCCCGACCGCTTTCCCCGGCGCCGTCATCCGCGTTCGGATCCGGTTTAGAGCCCTCTTTCATCGTAGAAGGAATTTCGATGGGCTGAAATCAATGATTGAAGAGACATGCTGGAGTATTCCATTCATATGGAATATTTTTCTCTCCGACCGGGAATGAATTTCCTGCGAGACGAGGTTTTCGTGGTCTTCCCCGAGTCCGAATCGCACTCATTCTATCTGAGAATGGGTGACCGAGACGAAATTCGGGCTGAATAGAGGGTCCGTCGGAGCGATGGAACGATAGATTACGAAATTCGCGGGATCATCGACATTGATGGAGCGCCCGCGGTCCCGTGATTGGGATCCGGTAACTGCTTCAGTGCTTATAGAAAACGCGGCTCACTTGTTCCGTTGTGGTAGGCGGTTCCGTCGGAGGCTCGGTCGTTGTGGTTGTTGTCGTCGTGGTTACGGGAATTTCCGTTGGCTCCACCGTGCCTAATGCTTCTCCGACCGGTTTAGCGGTTGTGGCCAGCTCCATTAAGATCTCCTGTTTCGGGACGACGAGTCAACAAACGTTGTAGTAAGTCTCCGACGGAGCTCTTCGCTGTATGAATAGTGGAAGCAGCCGAACAAAGGAACACAGACACGAGCCGAACGGTACGAACCCTTTCGCGAGCGATGCAATATCGGAACCTCCTGCAACCGACCTGACCTCTACAGAAGGATCTAATGAAGTCGGAGTCCCTTCGGAAATCGAAGCGATTCACGCATCGGACCAACGCGTTCCGGTCCTGCAAAAACGAGCCCGAATGTAGAAACCGTGCGTAGAATTCCGGCTTTTCGGCCAGCTCGGGAACCCGCTGGAGCGTCCCTTCTTTTTTTCCTGTTCGGGAACAGAACGCAGATACGCTTTTAAAAGCTCCATGTGAATCCTCGGCTGAACTCGCCCCAGATTCTCTTGGCTGCTTCCGGGTGAACTAGAAACCCATGGGGGAAGCGAGCTGATGTTTGTTCAAATCTCGAAAGGCTCTCTGCTTGATGTCCGTCTTTATCCGCTTGTTTTATTGCATGACATGAGCTCTTGAGGCAACCGACGGCGCTTGAAAGTTCCGCGGCAGGCTCGTCACAGAGCGCTGTCTTCTCAGTTTTGTTCGCTTTCTGCCCGGCCATTCCAGAGATAACTCGGAAAACTCCCTCTTTCCCAGACATCTTGCAGCCCTCAGAGCGAGCGTCGCTGTTGAAGACGTTCATTCTTCACATAATGTATGTAAGTTCACGCCCATTCCAGACAGTCGTATGCTGCCATTTCTCGTTCCTTCCTCTCAGAGATGATCTCAATCTGATTGTGAGGTTTCGAGAGCAGTGGAGGATGCCGAGGTCATGGCAGATTTTTTTGCTTTCTCCCGGAACTCTGAGCGTTTTGGCAAGTACCCGGTGAGAGGAAATTCCCTCCAATCGTTCTGAGGACGCAGTTGCTCCCTCAAGGGCAGAAGCGAAAATATGTGCCCTGGGAATCATCTGAAGATGCGGTTTCCACTTACCAGAGGAGCGATACGGTTCAAGAGACATTCATATCGAGCCATGCGAGTTTCGACAGGAACAGAATTGTCTGCAATATGATACGTTAAGACCGTCAGCACGCCGTTGATGAATTCGCCTCTCCTCGCGTGAGGATCACTGCTCGTTTCACTGAATGGTCAACTCTCTTGTCGTCACCGTAAGCCTTGTTGTGCCCGTGAACACCTATGTGGCTCCGGTTGAGCAGTCGCGTGCACGACGAACACCGCGACTTTTGTTCACTGGGGCTCCTGGTACTTCGCTCATACGAATGAATGAGCGAAATATGAATGGGAAACATACCGCACACGAGAGTGTACATGAAGTTGGTGTTGACGTCCCGCATCGCGAGGAGATCCTTATCCTCCCTCGTTAATTGACGACGATTGCTGCCCACTCGAGCCTCGACGAAAACGGCCGCGCACAGCATCACTGATCCGAGCAGCAAACGGGCACCCATATTTGCGTGTTCCGTGAAACCTTCTGCCAGGCCCAGAGTAGAGCCGGCGCATATATAGCAGTACTGGAATAACTAGGTTAGGTGTGTTGCGAATCACTGATTGTCTATGATGTTGTCAGGACTATGCGAAATGAGGAATCACGCTTGACGTCAACGTTGAAGGCTGTTACCGCTCAGGCAGATGTCAGATTGCAGATGTTATCGAACCGGAAAGCCCTATGGGCTGCTGGGAAGCCGAATTTCTGATCATGTTCCGATGATTAACATCTTCTTTGAACTTGAAACGTCTTTCCGCTCAACTCTGGAGAGCGCTTCGACGGAACTCTTGGAAGGCAGGCGGCAGATCTTCGGTCGATTTCGGGAGAATCGATGACCAGATCTCCCGAGAAGCTCCTCGATGGAGCGGGCGGAGGAACTCGTCTAATCGCGGAAGGATTGAGATTTGTTCCTCCTCACCCAGATCGAATCATTTTCCTATCGAGCGCTCAGCCTGTGGACTCACAGATCGGATAGAACTTCAGAGTACACCATGTTCTTCTGGTAGAATCGGGTGATTTATCTCGCGCCATTCACCTTGATACCGAAGTTCAAGTCAGTCGTGATTAATCTCTCCGGATCGCTGCGTAGCTGTGACTTAACCCTTTGACAGGAGAAATATTGTATCTATCCATGGCTGATCGATTTGACATCCCGGGGTCGGCTGTCTCGATGGGTCTGAGTGGGACGTCATACTCGAGCTCGAACATCCGTGTCCTGCGTAATTGTAGGAAAGTCGCTCAGAGACGAGTCGTGGGGATTCCGATGACGAGTGGGCGAACGAAAAGAGCCGGCAATCATGGGTCCGCCATCCAGGTCTATGGTTTTTCTTGGCGGGCCCTCCGCTCGGAGCGGTGCATTTAGTCCTCGCTCTTCCCTCGCAACATGCCGGAGTCCGGCTCATGCCTGATGACTGATGATGGACCTGGAGGAGAATGGTCATGAAGCCGTCCAACACGTCTAATGATCGAATCACCCTTTTGATTCCAGATGTAGATAATGACGATAATTATCTTCCATGGCTACCGTCGAAATACATCGATCGAGAAAGACTCCGCTGTGTCAGATTTTCATTTTCGTTTCAGAACACGCATCCCACCTGAAACTCCGTATCCTAGTTTACGTTCCAAGTCCGTATCCGATCTCGTGCAGGGTGGAGTCACCGATGAACTTGAGGCCTTCGAACGGTGGGCAGTCTCCTCCAGCCTCATCGCATTAATGACCAAGCGACGCTCGCTCTCTGCACTTTATCGATTCCTTCTTTTTATAGAACAAATGCACTCGTTTCGGGAGTCTCTCGTGATGTGATCGATGAGCGACAAACCACTTTCAGAGATCTGCTTGAACCTACTCATTGTCTCGACAGACTAGTGGACGGAGGAGGTCTCCCGGCGACCCGGGAGAAAGCAACGTCTACGGTGTGATGCGCCGCCTCGTCCCGGGGCAAGAGCGTCTGCGGGAACCCTATCGATTTTCCATGATGGTTGAAAGGCCACGATCTCTCTGGATCTTCGCCGTCTGAGCGTTTGTGCGATTCTCCTCGCCCCAGAGTTTCGATAGCGGAGTGCTCGAGCGGTCTCGAATGGTGTTAGGAGAAGAAGACAGAATGCTTTCCTGTCGAGAGCTTGTAGCTGCTCGCTCTCGTCATATTTCCAGCCAACGTGGTCTCTTTCCAATTATACAAGCGATTATACGACACATTCACATCACCGCCTCACTACCGTTCGAAACACTGCTCTCATAGGTAGCGGCGGGAGAGTGAATGGCAGCGTGAGCGTCATTTCGAGCGAAATCAATTCTCCATCGATTTGCTATCTTCCGTGAGCTTCCAGAAATTCCGATCAGAAAGGTCAACTCCGATCAGAGCCACAATACTGCGGCCTTTCTCGCGGGGTGATCTGCGGTGCGCTATGATGGAAACGTCGCTGTTTCCTGGCCATCGCTGAGGAATAGCGCTCGCGGAGAAGGGGAAGACCATCATCAGCCGAGGCGTCTTCATGCGGAACTTGAGCCTCTAGTAGAATAGGATCCGACCGCTAGAAATATTCAAGAAGTGGCGAGCTGGCGGATAGAGATACTCAGCGCTTTCATTCTATGGATGTATCGGTGGGTTCTCCGCCAGTCAATCCAAGCTTTGATTACCCGCCCGTGAAGTACTCCCATTCGCGCTCAAGCTTGCTCGAAACCGAATGGGTCCATGAGATTCATGGTGACATCATGGATGTCTTTGGAGGGCTGGATTCGGAGATAGATGAAAATTTGTATCCATTGTCCAAGCTCCGACTTCGTTGATCCTCCGATGTTCCGATGCCTACGAGTATATTGATATAATAATCGATGAATTCACGGCTAGGAACGCAATGCTATCGATGCATCCATTCTCTTGCTCTGCAGAAGCCTGGCTCTTCGATGACAGCCTGTGCCATTCAAGCGAGAGACCTTCCCACCACCGAACTGGAGCCGGAATCAGGGGGCAGGGTCCGACGGGTTGAGCATTACAGTCAAATCCTTAGACGGCATTCTGAATTTTCCTCGGAACGAGGAAGGCCCATGAACGAGAAAACTTAAGACGAGCCTGCTAAGGGAAAAACTTGCAAAGAGTGATGATTCATCCTGGGGCCGACATCCTCTACGACACCACAGCATTACCGATCCGTCACTTCTTCTCCCTCGTACTCCCCCATACTCTTGTGCATAATTTTCCCGGAGGAAAAGCAGAGGATACGTGGGAAGCTTGCGTCTGGAATGAGCCTTCCCAGCGGAAATTCAGGTCCAGGACAATGCCTCCTTAGGGCGGCATCCCGGGTTCCCGATGGAATCGTCCGCGGGTCAAACTCGTCGGAATCTTCGTCCGAAAGTTGGGAATGACCGAGGACGTCGGTGAGTCCGGGGAAAAATCGATTAGGTGCTAATGCGCTTCCCGAGACGAAATCCGAGGAAGCGACCGATCATCCCGAGAAGTGAGGGCTCCCTGCGCCTTTTGTTAGTGGAGTTGAACCGCGGACTCTCCCATTGACCCGCTACCGCCGCCATTAGTCCCCGCTCACAGCATCCCCCGGCACTACGTCAATTTATGAAGTTGCGGAGATTTCACCAAAAATTCCGTTTCAAAGATCTCGGAGTTCTCCGATCCTATCCTCGAAGTCGACCTCAGAGACGGTTCCACGTCAGATGTCTCATCTCTCATCTGATCTGTGCGAGAAGCGGCTCCAAAAGGGAAAAATCGGAGCAGATTCAGGAGATCCAATTGGGGGAGGATGCCGCCATGCTTGTTTCTCAGCTGCTCGGCTGCGTGGAAGCGTGTTCTGCTGCACCACCACGGCGGTTCCACGACTTCCACCGTCATCACCACCGCTGCCACCAACAACGGAAGGAGCAGCAGCGGCGCGCAGAGGGGGCGGCAGCAGCAGCAGCTAGGAGCTTCCCCGTAGGATCGTGATTGGCGCCGGAGAAGGAGAGGGCTCGAAGGAAGATGTCGCTGTCCGCGACCTTGAGGGGACGACACGTCTTGCAGTCGCCTCGACGCAGACAACGTACCGAAGCGACCGAACTCAAACAACAAGAAATTCGTCCCTGCCGATGGGACCGCGGAGGCCAAGCGTGAATTCCGGCACGGTGCGAGTCCAAAAAGTCGGACACGTTAGGCCTGACGCAGGAGCGAGGGAACAGTCGTCGCCGTCGTCCATAAATAGAGCCCGACAGCCAGCAGCCAGCGAGAGTTCCGAGCGGAGAGCCAAACTGGGGCTGGGGCATTCCGCTCCCCGAAGGAGCACGCTGGGCTCCCGCAGAGGGACAGCGTCAGCGGGTCGAGAGAGACAGGAGGGCCCAGCGGGTGGGGATGAGGGGCGGGGGGCGTGGGGGGTGGCATCCGAGGGAAAGCAGAACAGGGCCCTCTCGAGAGGGAGGGTCGCCGCCGTGCTGCGTCTGAGCGTACCGGGGGGCGAAAGTGGGTACGCGCATGCGCTTTCCGTCATTGGAACGAATAACCGAGCGAGCTGCTCGAGCTGGACGGGACGACCTGCTGCTCGACAGTTTCAGCGTTACCCGTTTGGTTAATAATCACGAAAACGACGAAGAATTGGTCTGCCTTGAAGAAGTCAAGGAGCCCTGTCCTAGCTGGCTAGGAGGCCAGCCCGGCCAACAGTGCAGGATTTACGCTACGGGAACTTCCTTCAACCGCCATCCATTTCGGTTAGGCCGTTGGTGTGTTCGTTCGAATTTCTCATCGAAATCTCTGAGAGGCCGACAGTGCAGCTCAAATTTACGTCGGCCAGCCACCTCAGGGGACCCTGGAAACGGGTTCCCCGTATTCTGGAACGAAGCGCCGCGGGGAGTATTCCCCGAGGCGAGACGACACGGTGCAGGTGCACCATCAGCCGCGGCAGCAGTGCCGTTGAAGGAAGACCAATAGTGACAGAAATACTGGATCCAGCACCGACCGGACCGCGCCTCACCAGTAGAATTTAGAACCGCTATCGCCGCTATCGCCGCACACGACTTCTCACGAGGCGAGCTACGGCCATGGGTGGCACGAGCTGACTAGCCGAGTGAGTTGGAATATCAACGAGCTTTTCGGAGCGCCAACACGATGTGACCAGCCAAGAGATCTGTTTTCGTCGACTTCAGCCCACATTCTCGTAGTGGAACGTTGCAGTAGACACGAGGAAACTGCATCGATTCGAAGATACTCCATTTAGGAAACGTGCATCCGCCAGTGCGCGTACTGATCACGCCAGGGACCGAGTGATCGGTAGATCAGTCACTCAATCAGGCCCCGACGTGCGTTTCGTCTGCACGACGGAGGAACAAGCCGAGGACCCAAGGATCGCGGTCTCTTGGCGAAATATCGACAAGGAACAAGAGGAGGAGACGCATCCACTTTCGCCTGTCTCCGATAATCTGTGTGTGTTTGTGTGTAAGTGTGGGTTTGTGATCCCCGTTTAATCGCTAGAAGCGACCATCGATAAAAACGTCCGATAGGAATTATCCCATCGACGATATCAGGCTGGGAAATCCAACAACCGCACGGTAAGAATCTCCCCAGAGGAGCCCAGCAGTACAGCCAGAAGATCCATCTCTGCCCGAAAGTCAAAGAGTTCGAGTCACGAACGGTATTGACCGTTGACGTCTATGAAGTTGAGAGCTGCGGATCGCCTCTCCCATCCGAAAGGAACCCCACGGAAGACTCGCCAAAGGAGATAACGGCGCAAGCCGCGTCGAGAGGAAACCTCCCGACCGGGAAGAGAGAGCGAGCGGGAGGAAGATTCACCGTGTCGAGAGAGAGCGATCGATCCGGGAATTTATGACGTGTGATCTGCCTGATAGACACTGTGAATGAAGGCTCTGTTTCACGTAGAGTTCCGGTCGTCGAGGTGTGTGGAGTTTTGGCGACGCGGAGACGTGGAACGCCAACGCCGCTCGAACTCAGTGACCATTGCCTCGAAGAGATCATTTGTGTCACGAAGAAGCATACCCGCATCTGCCAACGTAATCATCGACAACGAACGCCCGACCGATGAGAACAACGTTACGTGTTTCAACGAGCATGGGAAAAATCATCAGCGCATAAGTCGCGATCGTAAGAGAGACATTCGCAACAACAACAACAACATTAAGAACAGCCACAACAACCGCATCAAATATAACAGTACCAATAATTACAATAATCTTAAACGTTCAAACATAATCAATGTCTCTAGTTGTGCATGTCTGTTGAGAAAGAGTTTGCCAAGTGCTGATCAATCGCAGAAACTGAGCTCTTGTTCAGCGCGAGTTTCTAACGCTAAGGGCCAACAGCCCGACTTCGGCCTGGAACTGGAAGGAGATGACCAGTCATTCTTCGGACTCATACAACAGAGATCCACAAGTACGACGAACGCTCTCCGGTAGAGCGCATCATCAATCGTACCAAGCTTCAAGTTTACAACCGCAAGACGATATCGATACATACAACGTGAATTCAAGTTCTGCTAGCAACAACGCAAGATACCCAACCGTTTCAATATCTCAGTCGCCTTCAACACGCGAAAGCCCTGTTGTAAGGCAAGGTCAGAGTTCTGTTCAGGTAGTCACCGACTCACCGACCGAAGGACTCGACGGTCGACAGCACCAGCCCAGAAGGAGAGCTAGTCACAACACGTCATCACAACAACAGCCTCCTCATCATCACTCCAATTCGCAGTCCGCCCCAGCAAACGAAAGAAGTCAAGCCGCAGCAGCAAACCAAGGGCCGCCTTACGCGGCCGAAAGACATCCGCGTTCCGATCATCAACAGCAGCAGCAGCAACAACAACAACAGCAGCTACACCATCATCATCAGCTTCAATCATCGCAGCATCAACACCACTTGAATCAAGCACAACAACAACAACAATCGTACCTTCACCACCACCAACACCCCCACCACCATCAGCAGTCTTCAGCTTCTTCTTCAGCGCATCAGCAAACGCGAGACGCGATGGGGAGCGCTGGGGCGTATTACGACGACCCCATGATGGGAGCGATGGACTCCAGCAGGGGGACCCATAGAAGTCGGTCTGCAACTGGAGTCCCGCTCAGAAGCTACCACTCGATGGATCGAGACCAAGACAGAGAGTTTATGCCGATCAGAGAACCTCGCGAGAGAAGTCTCGATCGGGGCTTGGACTCGGTGGCCGCCCGCCATGCGGCGGCTGGGAGGAGGGGGGATCGTGGGTATGGCGCAGATCCGTACCAACACGACTCGCACCACTCCTACCGGGACATGGACCCTGCTGCGGATCCGTACGGAGCCCAGCACAGCCGCATGGCTGGTGGGGTTGGCCACGGCGGCTACGACCGTGGCTATGGACCGGCGGGACCTGCTGCAACGCGTGGTGGTGACAGTTTCGTCATGGAGTTACAAACTCGACTGAACGAACTGCAGGCTCAGTATGGAACCGTAAAAAGGGAGCTCGATGCAACAACTCAGAAATTGGGTTCTTCTATGCATAGCATAAAGACCTTCTGGAGTCCCGAGCTGAAGAAGGAGCGCGCCTTACGCAAAGAAGAAGCAGCAAAATATGCCCTCATCAATGACCAGTTGAAGCTCCTCCGAACCGAGAATCAGGTGAGTGCTGTGCCGCGCTGGAGGTCACTCCGCCATCGGCTCTCCGAACTGAAGTTTCTTCTGACTCTTTTCCTCTCTCTTGAGTTGCCTTCAATTCCGGCGCCGTAGTTTTCGGTTTCGAATTCGCTTCTATTCGAACTCATTGGATTCGGATCGAGAGAGGGTGAGAAGAAGTTTCCGTAGAGGGAAGCAAGGAAGAAAAAAATACCGAAGCTGAAGAATAGAAGGAAATTCGAAACCAAAAATCACAGGGGCAGCAGACAGATTCCTAGACTCGCTTTCGAAGACGTCACTGGTGAACGTTGGTTCGAAGTTTTCGTTTGGAGAGCCGGATCGGGAATTCTCCTTGAGAGGAAGAAGCTATTCTCGTTAGCGCATTGAAAATTAATCGGATGCAACCAGTATCCGAAACCGGTTTCCGGTGGCTTCGATCTTCGAGATTGCCGGGCGAGGTCTGCTTGCTGTGTAGAGATCGCTTCTTCCATTAGATTCGAAAGAAGGAAGTAGACAAGGAAAACAGACAGGAGAAATTGAGAACGAATCAGAAGGAAGTGAAATATCTTTTCTTTTCCCACTCCGAACGAATTGCAGTGTTCAGGTAGATCTCGGGGCAGGAGGCTGGGTGGCAGGGTAGGCCGGTGGTCGCCAGGGTACTGTGTCCTAGATGAAGTTGAGGCTATTCTTGTCTTCATCTGGCCTTCTTTTTTCTGTCTGTCTCTATCTCTCTCTTTGTACTTATTTGTTGCCACTATTCTATGCTCAACTCAATCCACGGTTGCCGCCATTGTTACTCTTATCCATTGTTTCAATCTCGACTGATGCGATTGTTCGCTCGAAAAAAAATACCCAACTCCCAATCGGCGGTCATCAGCTGATAATGAGAGTCTCATGTCCGGAACTCCCGAATAGCTCTAGACTCATTCGATGATGGATGTCTTCGATTGATATCTGATGCAAAATCTTCACTTTATCAGCTTTTATCTACCGCAGTTGTGAGCTCTCGAGAACTCTCTTCTCACAAGTCGCTAGCATCGGAACTTCGAGAATCATCGTTCATCGATGACTGAGAACCGTCATGATAGGGAACTTGAATCGAGCTCATCCGAAGATCCTGCTCTTCACAGTCCTGGATTATTGTCTGGCGGTCTGCCGACGCGCAAAGAGACTTTGAGAATAGGCCCGCCCATAGGAAGATCGTAGTGGATGTTTCGTGGACTTCACTGTTCCGTGTGCAGGATTGCTCGTAGTTTCTCCATGTCCCGGAGTTCGGACCCGCTGATTTCCTGGAACATGAATATTGTTTCATCGTAGCCTACTTCGAGGGAGACATAGTGATTACTATAGGCTCCCTAATTGAATCATAGTCCCGAACCCTCGTCTTCATCGGCGATCTCGCCCTCGGCTTCCCCGCTCGAGTGCACTCGAAACAGAGGGCGTCCTGTATTCGATCCCTGGGCTCCGATCCTTTGCCGCGAGTCGCTCAAAGGTATACCTGTTTGTACGGCTGCGAGCTATGCATGGTCCGCCCCAGACGAGGTCAGGAAATCGGTTGGAAAACGATGCGACAAAGAATACATTTTTCGGCTGAAGCTCATGGGGCATGCGCGGTAGCTGGAGGCATAAGCGTGGATTCATTCGGCCAGGCGACGGAAAACAACAGGATGAAGAGCATCGAGGACTCTGTTGCACTCCGTCAGAGGGTTCCATCTCTGGCTCGCGCTTCGTCGAGCTATTTCGGGGCGAAGCCAAAGTCTCCGCGACTCTTTCAAGCGTTTCCCGACGGGATCCTCGGTTGAGAGTCCCTCGGAGATGCGAACGAGCTTGGATTTTGGAGAGAAATGCCGTGCCAGATCCCACGCTTCTCTGTATCCCGGCGTCGATTGTTTTTCGCCGCTTACTGGGTTCGATCCACGATCCCGCTCAATGGAGGTATGTTTGCCTTCCATGCCTACTGGTTATCGACGCACGAGTCGTTGATCAATTAGCGTTCCGGTCCTGATTGTGTGAAGTGCGCGGATCCGATGTCGTGGCTACCTATGCGAAATATCATGCATAGCTCATGTCCCCCCGCGATCGCTCCCGAAAATCTTCTGTCTACTGAACTTTGTTCTGGTACGAAACTCAACGCGGAACAGTGTTTCTTGATGGCACTGCAATTTTGCGTTGAGAGAAAAAGGCCGATGTTGTTGCTGCAACCTTTGAGAGCAACTCCATCCTATTACGGCTTCAATATTGCGAACACGTAGCACGGTCGTTCGGACACTCACCGCACAAGCTCCCCATCGAACCTATCGGGCCACCGCATTGGCAGAGGGAAACATGGAGGTTTTGCCTTCGAGTCTCCCCATCGCTAGAATGATTCCCCCTCCGCTTTACTACCGATCATGATAGCGTCTCCCGATCCACCCTCGAGGGAACTCCCTCCTTTCGGTCCAACGTTCCTGGAACGATTTTCAATCGATTTTCGGAATCGTGTGCACGACCGTCGAACTTCCGGAACCGGTCATTCAGTACTTCAACATTCAAAGAGTATGGTGCTTAAGAAAAAGAGCCGTTGCCTATCCATGCGCTGCGGAGTGGACTCCTGAGCCGGATATGCGCAATTCTGCTCGACCGGAGGCGATCACAAGATGGGGGAGACGAGCAAAGCGAGAGACAGGGGGCCTTGTGGATAATTCGCATAGTGAGCCAGCCATTAACATCAATTAAAGCTCAGAGTCACCAAAAAGCGCTCCCTCGCTGCTGCTGAAGCGTCGGCCATGGCTGGTGCAATACTGTTAGGCACGGCCTATTGTTACGTCAAGGATTGACGGTTTCACGTGACGTAAAGTCAGCCGTCAAAGATGACACCGCTCTGGCTCCACTTGACATGTTAATGGCGGTGCGAGTAGATTTACGGCTGACATGGCGTGGGTTTATTTTTAGGGACTAGATATAGGGGACAGGACCGAAAATATGGGTCTGGGCTCCAGGAGGGTGTAGATGAAGCGCGGAGAAAGCTCGTGGAGGATTGAGAGGGGCACATAGTGAACGCTCGCGGAGAAGACGTAGAGACCCTTCGCCGGGGAGCGTGACGTCGGAGAGCTGCACTCCCAGAACGACTAGCGCTTCTGGATGTTCGCCGAAGGGGCTTCGAACATGTTTCAGAATTTGTCGTGGTAGGAGCCAGGGCTCCTTTTCTCTGTCGGGTCCGAGCCGAGGGATCATTTTCCCCTCCCAGGCTCTTTCGAGTGACCGAATGTCATGCTCCACGCCCTTCTCCGTGGGAGCGAGGTACAGAAAACGGCGACTGACGGTGGGAAGATGCTCTTCTGCAACTCCGGAACGCCGCGACCTCGCCTCCCGTCTGGCGGGAAAGGCTCGGTGAGAGATCACGCGAGCAGCCGAGCCAGTCCTCTACATTGACCGACTGGCTCGAGTCGCTCGTCCTCGCCATTCCTTCGCCCACCTACGATTGATGAGCGCTCTGCGGATTCCAAATTGATGGAAGAGAGCCCATGACGTTCCCTCTCCCAGCAGGCCGTCCATGGAAAAGAGTCTCGTTCCAGCCGCTCGGACCAGATACGTTCCGCACACTTCAGCGAGGGTAAATCCATAACGCTTACCCAACTCACGATCTGGGGGCTGCTCCAAGCATTTCCCGACTAGCAAGGGATTTTTGAGGAAGTCGCCGCGATCCTCTCTGATGAGAGATCCTGAGGTCGTGGTTCATTCCATTTGGGCGAGGTCTGATACGAACAATGATTCTATCCGTCTGCCAACTCTATTGAATGGCGATAGAAATCTGCTATTGATTCGATACATCCCAGAGCACCGATTCGCATTGAGTGCGACGGACGCTCAAAAAAAAGCGGGAACAGAATCAGACGCAAGAAGCCATCTGGTTTCGATCGTCTCCCACCGTGTCGCGACTCTCTCCACCGCGTCCGATTTCGGTTACAAACGACTGGAAACCTTCCGATTGGATGGAGGATCGTTTTTGACCGTAAGCTTCCAAAAAGCTTTCGGCTGGCGCGACGACACTGCTCTCGGGAGATGCTCCGATCTCTCCTCCTCGCCCCTCTCCCATTTCATACCAGGGTCGCTGTTGGATCTCTCTCCCCAAGATTTCTTTCTACCGCCGTTCGAGTCACTTCTTTCTTCCGATTGAGAGCGAGTCGAGAAAGAGGTACCCCGAGATCCGGTGGAGCACCTGCTCTCTGCTCGGGCGGCTAGAGTCATCGGTATGGGACTCTGAAGATATCGCCACGAAGGCTCGAGTCCGTTAGCTTGATCTTGGACTTGCTCCGGGCGTCCGTTCTTATTCCAGCGAAAGCGGGCTGGACTATCTACCTCAGAGAGGAGAATATTACTCAGGGTATCCGACCGAAAATCTTGCAGGTTTAGATGGAGTTCGAGAGCGACAGGTTTTCTCCTGTCGCTGGCGGGCAACTCCGCTCCGAGCGCCGGCCGGATCGCAAACAAGAATTATTTGTACCCGGCGGGAAGCTATAAGAAAAGAGCCGGAAAAAGATTATTGGAGACCGAAACCAGTTGCCAACGAGAGCCTCAACTCTTTCTCCTTGTCGGAAGGAGCGACCTTCACCACCTCCTCGGACATATACCGTAAAGGTACTTATGAACGGTGTCGCCTCGAATTTCTTCACGTTCCGTGACCCTTTTCGGAGGTCGTCACCTATATTCTTCGTAGGCTGCTTCTCCTCACGTAGAGGTCTGACGTGGCGTGAAACCGCCGTCGTCGTACAGAGTGAGTTTGTGTACGCTGCTCGGCAACCTACTGAATGAAATCGTGGCGGCAGCTCGGCATCAGCGACTGTGGCGACGACCGCGGCAGCAGCGGCGGGCGTGGGAAACGGTCCGGTTCGTTGAGAACCCCCCGGGGCATTGGGAACTTTTTGAGAAAACTCGCTAACTTTGACTCCGCGCACTCTTTCCCCAGCGGCTACGCTTGCACGTTCGGCTTCTATCTGACGGATGGACTGACGGACTCTCGAAGTCGG